CTGGCCTCGTCCCCGTCCGGCCCGGGGCGTGAGGTGTCCCGCCGTAAGCAGGGCGCGGACCGCGGGAGGGAGCGAGCGCCCAGGGGGAGACCCCGGGGAAACGTCCCCTTCCCTCAGCCCCCGCAGTCCCGAGGGCCTGCTGACAGGCAGGGAGAGGAACAGGGGCCGGGAGCGGCATGTCACTTTTTACAAAAGCCGCCTTTTGTTGCGGGGTGAGACGAGGGAAGGATCCAGGGAGCCCTGGCTCTGTTTGTGGGTGGTGTGTGGGGACCGGGACTACAGACTCTGGTGAAAAACCTTCATTGTCCTTGTGTTTGGGTTTTTTTGTTTTGTTTTTAACTGGGTTTTAAAAGGGTATTTTTGAGGCTATTTAGACTGGAAATAAGGGGTTTTCTGTTTGTATTGTTCACCTGACAAAGGACCCTTCTGTCTTAGTAAGTTGCGAAGCGTTTTGCAAACTTCAGCTAAATTTCGGGGAGCAAGAGACGTCTCAGCATAACTCAGTAACAGGGTTTGGGGCAGAGGCAGGAGGCCGCAGCTGGTGGAACAGGCTGAGCGTGAACACAGGATCACCGCTCGGGTTTGGCCTGCCTGTTGACCCATGCGTGCACGCAGGCGTTCACCAGATACTTGGTGTGTGCGTTTGTAAATGCAGAGCACAGCATTGCTTGCCTGTTATGTGGACGGGTTGTGAGGGAGGGCTCTGAGCCGGCTGTGCATTGAGTTTTGGAGAATACAAGAATTTGGAGGCGGGGGTAAGGGAAAGTACTGGTTAAGGGTTACAGGCATGAGATCTGGAGTTGAGAGTTATGTCCTGTGGTTGTATGCTACACAAACCCAAGCCTCTTGACTTTTGCTGAGCTGGTCACAAAACAATCCGTTGCTCCTAGGAAAAGATTCTAGAAATCTTGTCAACCTTATGTTGTTAGAAGCATCGTGTGTAGGAGCAGTGTGGTTTGTTTTTTTTTCAATTGTGTTTTGATGCAGACTTTAAAATGTGAGTCTAATAGTGTATTTGTTGAAGGTTATGTTGTCTGTACAACCGGATGCACCTTCTAAGATAGAGGTGCTGCTTGATGAACTTGGAGAGACGAGGGGAGAGAAGCAAATGTTTCCATTAATTAATGTCTGCAAGGAACTTCATATGCATAATTCATTAGTGTACATTCTTCAGTCTTCAGTTATTCTTTCTTTCCCCACTACTGGTTAGTTCAAGACTTTAACTGTACTGGTTGGAAGTGAGAGATGTTACTCTCCCTGACCCTACCACTGAAAAGCAGTTAAACAACCAAGTGTTTCCTTCAGTAACCACGGGAACTAGCATCTTCAGGAATCATTCCTAATGTAAAGTTGGTATTAGTACGGACTCCAATTTGTAGTTTGGAAATTTAGTGAAAAACATTTGACTTTGTAGATAGTTGCTAAAAACGGTGACTGGTTTGTTTTTTGCTTTTCAAGGCCTCACAGAAGTGATTTGTATGAGGACGCTCCATCAGCATGCTGGCCTATCATATATTCTCCAGAGTATAACATCACATTCATGGGACTTGAGAAACTGCATCCATTCGATGCAGGGAAATGGGGAAAAGTAATCAATTTCTTGAAAGGTAAAATAACAGAACGTACCTCTTAGACCAACATTTGCACAAAAGCTAATAGAAATTATGTAGTTAGTGCAGTCTTATGTTAATAATTGCTAATATAATAGTGACTGTACATCGTCATTGCTCATTGTGTAGATTTAAGCTATGTTCTTTAATCATATTTGGAGTACTTAAATCTTAGCAAGTTAAATTGATTGTAGGCTTTCTGAGGTGAGTTGGATGTCATGTGTTACGTGTTGTTGAAGATCTTGCCTATGAAATATTTAAAAGATGAAATTGTAATGTTAGAGCAAACATCCTACGCTAGGGCTTTTCAAAACAAAGGTTTGTTTCACAGTCTTTTGAAAATGTATGTTCTAGCCCACTCCACTAAGTAAACCCACAATTTTGGTTTCGGCTCAGTCATGGTGTCTGTGTAGAGTGAAACTCGTGAAATGTGATTGAAAATTCAAGCTCATTAAATGGTTTGCTCTCCCCTGAGGTGTGAATAATACTAGTCAGGGTAACTAGCTTGGTCCATTTCAGTCTGGCCCAGACCGTTACAAGACTGTGAGTAAAAAGGAGTAAGGAGAATCATGAGCATAGGAATGTCTTAGACCATCGTAAAATATTTCTGGTCTTTGCAATTTGCATGAAAGCATGAAGTGAGCAGAATTTCTTTGCTTGGCCTTTACAACAAATGTTCATGTGGGATATTTGAGAACTGTTTCCACCTCTGCAGTGAGCACCAGAATCTTGACTTTCAGCCTAGCCCAAGTTAGGTGCAGAACGCTGGAGCCTTGTGGACATGCCGTGTTTTGATACTGAACAGATTTTTAATGATTCAAACACTTGCAGTTCTAGATTAATGTATTAAGAACAAGATTTCCTTCAAGTTTCCTCTTGAGGATAGGTGCCGCTTGCAGTTCCAGTTTCTTCTTTCTTTTAAGGACCAAGCCTGGATCTAAAACAGAACACAGACTTCAGTTTTGTAGCAATGAATGGAAAATCCTTCCTATGTTAGCTGCAAGCTTACAAATGGTTTGGCTTGCAAGACCTGAATCGCAGTTTGGGAGTACTGTGTCTAGCTTCCTAGAGCCTTGTGCTTCCATTGCTTTACACCTGGTGTAACAAGAACTGGGGCATTCCTTGTGGCTTGTGAAACTACAGGTGTTAATGACTGGCTTGCTGCAGGGTGTAACTTAGTTGTTCAACTTAGACTGCAGACAGTCTACTGGCAAATGGCGCTTTTCAGGCTGAAAGATAAGTGCAGCTTGTACAAGTCCATTCTTTATCAACCGCATAGTATTACTCTGATAACGTTTGGGAAGAGCTTTGAGATGCCTCTGATGACAGGCAGAACTTTTTGTGGTGGTGCTCATTATTGCTGTTTGAACAAATTGGAAGATATAGGCAGAAATACATTAAGGAAATACAAATGTAAGAACCAAGGTTAGGATCAGGGCCTATAAAATCTTGGCATCTCTTCATCTAAAGTTTAAACTTGGTCATCAAGTTTAAAAAAAAAAAAAAAGGCTTTTTTTCTTGCCAAGACAAAGGTTGTCCAAGAGCCAGCCCTCTTGCATTTACGTGGTCCTAATGACTCCTTCAACTGATGGTCTTCTGCAGTTAAGTATTGCCCTTCCAACTTTAGGCGGCCTTGTATTCATTTAACCAAGGTTAAACGAATTCTAACACTCCATTTAGTAGCTGAGTTTTGGATCTTCCCTTTAACAACCTTAAATAATTAAGTCCTGGGTTCCATGATAATTTTCTTAATTAATCAAAACCTTTGCCTTTCTGCTCCTTCTCTATGTAAAGTCTTTTCCTCTAGCTCTTTTCTGTGTGAAGTGCCCACTCTTTACTCTGTCTTTCACAGAAAATTAGTTTTCCCAATCGTTTTGCTCTCCTTGCTTTGTAAAGCAGAAAGAAGCCACAGGATACCCCAGGGCGCTCCTGGTTTTCTCTGGCTCCGTAGCAACTCCTGGCAACAGCTGACCTATGCTGTTACCTGTCATCTAGAAAATCACCAGTGAAAATCTTTCTACGCTTACCTTCTCCTTCCTCAGGAATGAAACTGTTAGCAGTTCGGCTTTCTGTCTGACACCAATGAATGAATGAAATATTTCTCCAGCCTCCGTCAGGAGAAACATAAGCTTGACAAAACAAATATTGTTGCAGGTGCAGTTCTTGCATAACACTTCAGAACAAAATCTCTCACATTTGTGAGTTGTTTTCTTCCTCCTCCAAGTATAAAATTGGAGAAAAGGTGCAGTCTTAGAAGGCTGCAGCCGTGCAGCAATTAAATAGCAGAATTTGTCTGGGAAGATCAGCATGGTGCCTTGTATTTGTTGTTTGTAGTGATCATATGCAAAGCAACATTGTCTTTCTGCACTGCTTGGCTTTTTTAGTTGACCCTAACTTGAACTTTCTGGCAAGCATATCCAGATGAATGCATTTGAATGTATTCTCTTTGATCACATTATTGAATATTGGAGAGATATTTTGTACTTGCTCTTATAAAACTAGGTTTTTAAATAAACTCTCTTTTGGTCTCTAAGGGGAAGAATTAATAGCAGGTCATTGGTATTTCTTGAAATTAAATGGAGGTGGGGTGTGACAGAAATATCCTGATTAAGTGTAAGCGTTTGCTTCCATGAACATCCAAGCAGTTATTTTGTTTAGAATTTTGATTTTTTAATTCTCCTCTGATTTAGGGAATTAAATACTAGTATCAAATGTGGAATTTTTTAAAGCATGTTAAAGAGTGGTGAATATTTGATGGTATGAGCACCAAGACTTCCCCAGTGTATCAAGCCCTAGACTGTAAGGATTCTTTTGTCTGTCCATCCTCTGTCACTACCTGTCTTTTCTTTTAGTTTAAAGAAGCTACCATGATTACACACTGAAAACTTTCTGTAAACAATATTTATCATATATGCACTAACTTAATAGTTTACGTGTATAGGGGGTATTTATTTGGAAAATTTGTAAACACTGAGTAGACAAAAGTTGTTTCAGTGATTTACATTACAGATGAAGTTATTACATTAAGTTCAAAGTAGGTTCTTTGGCAGGGTGGAATATGGGAAGTTGCATGATGGTATACAATGCCAATTGTTATTTCTCTCCTGTTTCAGAAGAAAAACTAATTGCAGATGACTTGATTGTACAGGCACGGGAAGCTACTGATGAAGATCTCTTGGTTGTTCACACAAGGCGCTACCTTAATAAATTAAAGGTGCTGTACTTATTAATGTGTTTTTTCAAGCAAACTGTCTAGAATTAGTGTCAAAGGCAACAGATACCCTACTAGATTTGTTATAGAATCAACTTTTACAGATTATAGAATGGTATATTTTTAATTCAACATTGTCATTGAGAATACTGAAAGAAAAACATAGAAATAGTAGGCAATTCACACTATAGAGGGGTGGAGTGGAAAGAGGGTATACCATGTTATATAGGTGACCTGAAATGATATTTCAGCAAAGTTAGATGAACATAAGGAAAATTTTAATCTTTGAGATGCAAATGATATTCTCTTTAGTACCAGGGTTTTAGTCTTCAGAAGTGTAAGTTTTAATTTACTCTAGTAAAATATGGTTCTGAAATTGAAAATACATTGGAGAGCACTAAAATGGAGTACTTTATTGGATGTTTTTTAATGCAAGGATTGCTTTATGAGCACAGGTGACATTGCTTTTATTTTGCAACTCTTTACTTGGAGGGCAGAGAAGGGATTTGTATTAGAAATAATCTTCCATTTCGTAATTCAAAAGAAGTTATTTTGAGTCATCTTTGCCCTTCCACTGTGAAAGAGTCCTTGTATTACTATTTCTGGAATGTTGTATTTTTCTGTGTAAGGGACCTATTATTTGTGTGAACTTTTTTCACTCTTACTCCTTTTCTGAGTTCTCTTACGCTTCTTCATTCTGTGCTATAACGTTACATGCAATTTCATACATCGTTAGATTTGATCTTATTGCAGCTATTCTTGATATTGAGCTTTTAATTCCATAGAACCACCCACCTCTTTTTACTGAATCACTTCTTTGAAGCAGGGTGTAATGTGCATAGCTCAGTTTGGAATACTATAATAATACTTTTAGTACCTACAGGATGGCTTCACAGGGAATTGTCTGTATAACTTGTGTCTTGGTGCTCAAGACCAGTACTGTCGTGTGCATTCAGATGTGATTAACTGCGTATCTCTCATTCCCCTTTTCTTGAGAGAATATTTCCTGCAACTGTAGAAGCTGGAAGATGTTGTATTGGTCATGCCAGCAAATTCCTGCCAAGCAGCGAAGATAAAAGTGCTTAGTTGCAAATGAAAAATAACGTGGCTAGACGTGAAAAGGCCCTGGGTATCATCTGTATTGCCTTATCCAAAGTCTGCTGTGCCATTTTTTTTTAAATCCAAACAAATACAGATCTACCAATAAATGGCATAGTTTTATGTTAGATCAGCTCTGAAGACTACAAAGGTGCTTGCGTTTCTGAGAATGCCTAGGTCTCTTAAAATAATGGATCATTTGAGTATTCTTAATTTAAAATTTGGGCATGAATTTGTTCGGAAATTCCATACACTTGCAAGAGGAGGTGGTGGTTGGTATCTTAGCAGCAGCTGAAGAAGCTGGCTGGTGGTTGGTTGAGGAGAAACAAAATGGTACGCACAAAGTAGGTCAAACAGTACTGGAAATCAGTTCTGTGTTGGAAGGAAGGGTCTCCCTGTTTCCCTGCTTTAGGTAGCATGACTAGTCCTTACAAGAAAATTTGGCCTTTTGAATTGAGGTGATTCCCCCTCAGTTATTCCTTTGAAGAATTTGGGTCTCTAAGGTAATGACTGAATTTTGCATAATTTGCTTGCAGTACTTTTCCACTTATTGCCTTTTCCTAGTGTTATGTAAAATAATGAATTTCCTGCATATTAGCATTCTGAAATTTTGGAAGGAGGTAGGCAATGAGCTTAAAGCTAGTTTCAGACCATATGAGTCTTTCACTTGAACGATTTTTATCCATGAGAGGTTCTATGATAACACATATGAGTGAATACTGAAATGCAAATTATGAGGATAATGCTTGTGTGTCAGTGGAACACAAGATGTGCTTTTCTGAAAGTGATCTGAAACAGGTAATTGATCAGCTGAACTTATAAATTTTATTCTATTTTATATATTTGCAAATTATGTAGGTTTAAAAATAAAAAGTTAATCATTTTATTAGAAATGTAAATTTTTATGCCTAGTGAAAAGTGGATTGATTTGATTATAGGGAGTGTTTTCTGGTGCTCAGGTGCTTGTGTGCTTTGACCCTTGCCGGTCACGTGAGTGCATCTGCCAAGAGACCAGAGGTACCTGTCTCTCTGTCGCATGGTGGCATGGGCAGTGTGCCTGGGGAAGGAGGTAGGACTCTCGGGAATGAAGGCAGTAGAAGCAGGCTCATAAAATAATCGGTTCAGCCTGTGATACTTCTGGCTGTTTGAGGTGTTCAGATAAAACAGCGCAGGGTGCATCTTGGGCTGTGTGCATTGTGTTAGTGACCACAGGCGGCTCGGCAACTGAAAATGTGTGGTTTTGGTTTGGATAAAATGGGCACCTGCAGAAGTACTTAATTCCCCTGTCCAGTTCCTCAGTTCATGCTGTTCTTGTGCTGTCATCTGTTGTCTCCGTTTGCTTCCTAGATTGTGCTTTTTCCTTGCTCAATTTTTTCAAACTTCATTGGTGAAAAATTTATGAAGGCTAGTGGTGGTTTGCTGTAAAATGTTCATTTAAAAAGTCATGAGAGCAGATAAATGAATCTGATCCTCTTCACCTAAATTTTCATGTAAATGTTAATGTGTTAGGTAAAGGTCTGTAGGAATACACAAAAATGTTATTTTAATAGTAATGATATTTGAACATGCTTGGAGAGAGCACTGAACACGAATACTCAAGTCTCGGGGAACAAGGTCTAGCAGGTTTCAGTATTCACACTGCTGTGCAAATGCTGTAGGGCATTCTTTGCAGCTCAGGTAACTATTAGACCCCTTAAAGAAAAGGATGAGGTAGCATTTGGTTTAAATTTAGATATTAAAGAACAAAATTGCATATTTTTTTTAAATTTGACGTGTTGTTGGCTATTTTAAAATGCTGGAATGCAATGAATGCATAACATAAAAGGCAGAACATCAAAAGTTGGTTTTGATCATCAGTGTGCTGTTTGTATTAATCCAGGATGTATCAGCATAAAAGCAACTACTTTAGCTTTATCTTCCTAATGTTAGTTTTTCAGTTTGACTTTTAGTCCTTGAACACTAATAATTTGAAATAATTTGCAAAGTCATTTAACCTTACTAAGAAGAGTTTTTATAGTTAATTAAAGTTAATAGTAATAACGCTTTATAAGTAAAGTCATGCAAGAATATCCTCATTAAATGTATATGTTATTCTAGAGTTTGGGCCTAAGCAAGGAAAATTAAGAGCTCTTGAAGTCGCGGGGGGGTTTTTTTGTTTGTTTCATTTTGTTTTGGGGGGTTTTTTGGCTGTAACATCTTGGTATAGTGTTACACTTAGCCACATTTAATGATACTGCCTTGTAGCTAATTTGGTAGGAGGCATGTGTTAAAGGAGAATATACCTGGTTAAGGGTTAACCTGACTTCTTTGCTCCTTTTAAGAAAATGGAGTGAAATTTTTTAAAAATTGAAACTTAAATTCATACATTGAATTATTTATCCAAACCACAGGAAGGTAAATAATTTTAAAAATCATATGATATTAGCAATACAAATAAAGAGTTAAATGGAGTTGATAACTGAAAAGAATAAGTGAAGGCATGTTATTGAATAGTGTTTATATACGATTATTACTCTTCCCTGAATCCAGACCAAGTTTTAATTTCTGTTAAGTTACATAATTACATGTCTACAAAACTCTATTAGATTATCAGTAAATTGATGGTGGCTGAGTGAGAGCAAGTATCTACCAAAAGAAATAGTAACTCATGTTATTCTGATATATGCAATTTGAATGCAAAAAATAGCGATTTAAAAAAAAAAAAATTCGAAGGGTTTGTTCTCTATCAAAGGAAACTAATATGTGTGAAGACTTGTGTTATGGAAGCCAACTGACAGCCTGGAAAACATAATTAATGTAGTCCTCATCTATTCAAAATAATTTTTTATTTTTACAACATGAAAAAGTATACATATATATATAAAAAACCATTTCCTTTTGATTTTTTTTTTTCCGAGTATATACATAGGTGTCCTGAGTACATAGGTGTCCTGAGAATTTCTTGCAGGAAATACTGGAAAACAAAAAAACACTGAAGAAAAAAAAAAAGCGCAAAACTGTCCACGGTTTGAGGCAATATAATTCTCAATTATTATAGTGGTGTTTTTTGAGAAGCATTTTCAGTAGTCGATAGCTGCATTTTTGAACCCCAAGACTTTCCTCACAGCCAAATGACTTTTTCCCCGTATGTTAGGAATTACATAAACACAGTAAAGGACTAAGTCTGAAGCAGTGAATGTCTTTGGGCTTGGCACTGTTCTGTAAATGTCCTCAGCTGCAAACAGAAAGCTTTGCTTACTCTTTACTCGTACCATGTCTGGATTTCTTGCATTCACTTAAAAACCTGCAGCAGCGTATGTGTTGATTTGAGTCTTTATTGCGCCCACTTCTTCCTGTTGAGATTAACACTTTTTTTTTTAAACTGTGTTAAAACTTTCTGAAATTTTGTGATCATTGTTCACATTTGAGATCAAAATTTATTTTATCCAAATGTGACCTTTTCAATTCCATTTTGGAACAGGATTGAATCTAGTTTTTTATATTATGCTTGTTTAAAAGCTAAAATATCTTGCAAAAGGACTTTATCATGATTGACTGCATTACAAAATAATTAAAGCACTTTGCTAATGATGGAGAGCTGCTGGTATGGTAACAGAATAATGTCTTAGAAATATAGAAGCAGTAAGAGCTTAAAATTAACTGTTGACAAAATACAGTTAGTACTTAAGAATGTTATGAGTAATGCCACCCCTCCACCCCACCCAATAGTACTTCATAGTTGAAACATTGATAACTGGGAGGCTAAAGTAGCTTAAGTTTTTTTCAATATGACCCTGAAATTGGCATGTGATTGTCTTCGATTAAAATTGACCACTTGTACATCCTATCATTTGTAAACGGACAGCTAACAGTAATCGGGCAACGAATGTACTGAATCTAGTTAAATTTCCTAATGTTGAAAAAATAGGAGCTATTAGAAGCTTTGTACAAGGTGTCAAATTCGTAATTCTTGGTACCTGAATGTTTCAGTATTGGATGAAGCGGTATATTCTTGCTTGTGACATACACTTCGAAATATATTTAGAAGTGTTATCGCTGGTAACAATGTTAGTAGAAGTTGTTTGAAGTAATCTATATGTGTTTGTAAAAAAGCATTTACATATTGCAAATATTTTGTGTTCTAACCTTCAAATTGTATTCTTGATGATATGACTTTTTAACAAAACGTTTCCTTGAAACATTTTCCAGAAGTGTTTAATATGCTAAATAAATTTTAATCAGTTCTCCATGTTAAAATTTGCACTGTGTGTTCACTTAAGTATTTGAATTTCTTAGTTGAGTTGTCTGTTTGTTTTTGCTTTCTCCTTGGTGTATCCTTTTGACTTGACACGGGAAAAGATATTTTAGGTTTGAACAATATATCAAGCGTAGCTTGCTATTAATACTGCTGAAGGACATTTTACAATTCTTCCTTCCAATCCCAGGGATATTAGATTTTCTGAAATACTAGCTTGCTGAAAAATTGCTGATTTATTACCATTTGATACTAAAATCTGAAAAACCTAGTGGTGGTGATTGAAAGTGGTGATTCTCATAGTTAACAACTTGAGGACGAACCTATTTGGAGGTTACTAATAAGGACTGTTGTGGTCATCTCCACCTAAAGATATTAGAAATCTTGCGAAGGACCTGTGAGCTCCTTTTCAGTAAATAGCAACTGATGAGAGATCCAAATGTCATCATTAAGACAGGATACATTAATTGGAACTTTTTTTCCCCCTTGTAGTGGTCATTTGTTGTGGCTACAATCACAGAAATTCCACCAGTTGCCTTTCTTCCCAATTTCGTTGTTCAGAGAAAAGTTTTGAAACCTCTACGAACCCAGACAGGAGGAACAATAATGGTAAGGTGCTCTTGATTCACTTTTATTGTATTTAAACTTGTTGATCAAAACACTATAAACCTGTGAGCTGTAATATTTTGTATAACTCAAAGGCTTGAGCCCTGGGGGCCTGTCGAGGGAAGTGAGTTAGCGTACAGTCCTAAACATGAGCAAAGTTTGGCGCTTGTTAGCAACTACCAATGTGAAGGACATACCTGATTTTATGGTCTGTAATTTGCAGAAGCGGAAGAGACAGTAAGGGGCAACCTGGGCAAGCAATGACAGATATGGCAGGACTTATGGCAAATATAGAAACTGAATTAGGCTTGAACAGCGTTCAGACACAGGCAAATTCTAGGAATGGGAGGTTTCAAAATTGATAATATAGAAGCTATTTTTAAAGCACGTATTTACCAAATGGCCTTGGTACTGTGTGGGAAGAGATGCATGGTTTGGTTGCTCTTGAGACTAGGTAAGTGTTTAAATTGAAAAATCATATCACCTTGCTCATTTTAATGATTAGAGTTAGTTTATCTACTTTTTCTATTGTAAATACTACAAAAGCAGCTCAGCTGAACTCAAGTGAGATGTAGCCTGTTTCACCTTAACAGAATTGTTTTCTAATTAGTTAAATGAGTGCTCTGGTCAGAAGAGCTGCATAAGTGTCGCCAGACATTTAATTTTGCCTGAGAATTGCTATTAGAGATGTTGAGGCAGTAGGAGGAAAGAAAACAGTTAATAGCTGGAGCCAAGAATGAGTTATTTAAACCATGTATTGAGGGAAAGATGACTTCATAATTGTAAACCAGTAACTGATGGAACCTTTTCTGCCCTTTTTACCATTCCTTGTCATATTGGAGCTAGAGTTCAGAAACTATACAGCATGGTGCTGGGAGAAGATGGTAACAGTCCCGATCTCTCTTCGCAGGCACTGAGCTGTAACAGTTACAGAAATGGAAGACAAAGAATCCTATCTGAAATCATTAATACTATGGTACAAATAGATCTTTGCTGCGTTTCAGCTACTCTTCCTGAAGGTAGCTGTTACAGTGGGTGCATGTGAAAAGGGTAGAAGCCCATATTGCTTTTTCTATATCTATTTGAAGCCAGTTACTGAAGAACACTATTCTGTGGGTTGGCAAACCTTTCAGAGTACGTCTGTGCCAGATATGAGAATACGATTTATTGCAACTACTAGATATTAAAGGTGAGGGAGACTGGGAAGCCATAAACGAATGACAAAGTAAAGGCATTATTTTCAGAAATAGGCTAATAGGTAGATTCCCATTTCTGTCAACAGACATGTAGGTACTTAGTAATCTGCACTGGGTTCAAGGTTTCTTATTTTTAAATGCTTACCTTCGTGAATGTATCAAGAATTCATTAAAGACATAAATAATATAAAGAGCTTTTTCTATAGCGCATAAAAGGCAGTGCAGTACGGTTTTCAGAAACAATGAAAAAGGTTGAATCTGTTTGAGTCTGACCTATGAGAATGATGTGAGTGAGCCCAAAAGTTTGGTGAAGCAGTTCTCCAAGTTTTCTTTAATTTTGTGGGGCTGACATGAGATTAACTGTTGCTGCTATCATTTGTGTGTATAAGTGGATCTGGGCACTATTAAGTTTCAACCCTCTTGGGTTTTACTATGTGAAATGAAAGTAGAGAGCCAGTTGTTATCAGATACTAAGGCAAGATGAAATATCCTGCTCTTCTGTTGTATTTACTTTTTTAATGATAGAACTACTCAATGCCTGATTCTTTATTGGAAAAAAATGGCAGTTTCTTTCAGTATTTTAGTACTCTTGTTAAATCTGTGTCCCATGCAGCTGCTGGATTTGCAAGTGTGTATGTAAAACTAACTCTCTGCCAGTTCTTGCTTTTTGTTACCAAAAGGTAGTGGAGAAAGGAATAGAATGGACAGGACAACTTGTGACTGGACTTAAATATCTACTGTTAAGATTCAGAAACATCTTCTAACAGTGCGATTTAATTCTTCTAAGCATGTCATCTTAACTCCCTTTTTAATATCCAAAACACTGGTCAGATATTTAAAAATCTGGAGCTCTTCAAAAAGTTTGAGTATATCATCATGTTTGAGCTGTGTTGCAAGCTGGTGCATTTTATTATTTACAATGGGGAATGTAGTGTTTACGTAATGTAGCTCTTCATGATGCTGTGAAGTACTCGAGTAGTTGAAAAATGTGTCGACATATGTATGCATGTGTTCAGAAAAATCTTGTTTATGATTGGAGGAAAAGGTGAGAGTTGTAATCATAGCATTATGATTAGTAGCAAAGGAAGATTTCCAGTAAGTTTTTGAACATGGGGATAATAGAGGGAAAGATCAAAAAGTCACCTCCTTGATGCTGAAGTTGTCTGTGTGAAGTGAGTCAACTGCTGCTTATTGCTCTGAGCTGTTAAATAAAAATGGCCAGGGGTTTCTTCCTCAATCCTTAGGACAACAGCGAGTCCTGTGACACTTACCATGTTTAAGTATCCTTGCAGGTTGCCGAGTCTGGTTTTAATTAATGGGGTTTTATTAATTCAGGCTTGTGAACGGGAAATGGCTTTCTTTTATTTTATAAAAGTTGTATGTGTCTTGCTCACCTTGGACTCTGTTTCTCCAACTATTGTTGTTCTCACCTCTTAAATCCCATTTCCTAATTCTACTTTAATTCTCTTGTGTTGCTCTGTCTCCTTGGATGTGTATGTTATTTAAAGTCAGAGAATAGTGAGGTAAGGAAATACGTAAGTGTTTGTACGGTGTAGCAATGTCTGATGCTTTTGTTGAAGCCTAAAGGTCTGCATAAGCATGAGAAACCCAGATAAACTGCTGAAAAAGTTAAACCAACCTTTAAGGACAATTTAAGTATAAGAGTTTGGAAAGAACATGCTAGGTTCTGGATAAATCTTTAGACTTACTGGATTATGGTAAGAGGTTAGATAACAAAAAGTGCTACCTCCTTTAGTAGGTGTTAGCTGGCAAAAGCGGAGATGATAGAAGTGGAACACAGTGCATCTCCCTAATACAAACCTACATAAACCACCTGGAACACTTTCTCCTAGCAATTTACCAGCAGGAGCTGGAGATAACAGCAAAACCAGTGTGGTGCTATCTGTGTAGTCATCTTGCTTTCAATGGACTGCTGGGAAGTTTGGGAGTAGTTTGACTTTTTTTTTTTTAAAAAAAAAAAACCCTGATGTTATAGACTGGGTAGTAGTAGAGAGAATTCTGGTTTCATGTGGTTCATGTAGCTCAAGGTGCTTAAAATTTTTTGGTTGTCACTCACAGACAAAGAAGTAGCTCCATTCTGTCTCCATTTAGTCCTTCAGCATCACTTCAGACTCCTGCTCAGTTCTCTCTTCTGTGCCGTATTTCTGACTACAGTCAGTAGTGTTTATTGAGATGAGGGTTTTTGGTCTGCAAAGTCCTGTCTGAATAGGAACATGCAGAGTCTTCTCTTACTATGGCCACGCTGTCTTTCTGTACAATAGTTATGAGGAATGAAGGAAATGGTAGAAGAGAAAAATAATTGGGAAGAGTCTAGAGTTTCCTAATATTCTACCTTTGATATTTCTTCAGGGTCTTGACAGTACGCGTGTGTGAAATCTATTTCAACTTGGTTCTAACTAGTCAATTCTTTTCTATAGTTTTGTGATGTTTTTCATTGCGCTTGTGTTATCTTTAATTCATAATTGTGTGTTCACTAGCTATAAATGTGGTCACGCAGAAGAGAGTGCTGCTAGTTACCTATTCTGTCTTTGTATCATGCCTTCTGAAATACAGATGACATCACTGGTCGCTTTTGGATTGATCTTGATGCCATATGCTGTTACTTTTACCTTTTTTAGTTTTCATTATGGGGAAATAGGTATGTACTTTAAAAGCAGTTTTGCTTCATCAGACAATAAAATTTGTACAGCACAAGTCAGAAGTACAATCTTCTGCTATTCCTGATGGTCCTGTTTATCATAAAAATTCCTGTTGAGTTTCTGTACTTTTTAATGATTTTTTTTTTTTTAGCAATATGGGAAGATTGGTTTTTAGTGAGGAATCCCTAGGAAGTACGCTAAATCACAGATACTGTGCTTTCCCTGTGTCTTAATGGATTTTACAGTTCAGAAACTGTAATCTTTTCTCAAGATCTAATTTGTGTTAAGTTAGCACGTTCATAACAGGATGTTTACCTTCCCAGTAGTTTTCTTAATACTAAATTAGAACTGCTCAAATATAAATATTGGTGATGAAGAATTCTTAACTGTGCAAACTTCCTTTCATTATATGATGCGTAATATGTTCTTTCCATGCTTATGGAAATGAATATCTGTTTTTTCTTTTTTTTTTTTTTTTTAATTCTAGCTAGTAATATCTTCTTTTTTTAACGTAACACTTAAGGAATACTGCAGTTAAACACTTGCTTGACTCTTCCTGGCTAAAATAAGTCAGGTTTTTCAATGAAAATTCCATCATTTAAGCCTTGTGCATCTCTGCTGTGTCAATACTTTCCCTTCCCTGAATGTCATTTGAGTTCAAAGGAGAGATACAAGCAGTTTTTCTGTATCGGAGGGAAAAAGATTGGTAATATTCTATACTATGCATGTTATTTAAAAAATAAAAGAAGTCACAGGACACTTCATACTGTAGCATTTTTCTGTCCCCACCCCCAGCTGAAGCTATGTTAATCTGTATTTTCAAGATTTTGAGCTTACATTCCTCCTATTTTTACATGAACAGGAAGGATATTATGAGATTCTTGCTCATTTTTTACTCTTATCAACACTTGTACTTTCCCTTTTTCATTTGTCTGCTAGGGGTCGTTGTTCGTCTCTGCAAAGTGCAGTTAGTTTTACATCCGTTCAACTGCCAGAGAATGAAATACAGATGAGATATCAAATACTTTCTCAACTAATTATGCTGAGGATAGTTTTGTATGGTTCACATTCAGAGATCTGAGTCAGAATGACCTGCGGTGGTAAAATATCTGAAAATTCAATGGGCATGTCCGAATGCCGAGAGTTGCATTTGGGTGGAAGCAGACAGTGTTAAATGGTTGCTTCGTTCATTCATGAAGTTCTCACTGTAATTTTCTTAAGGCAGGAAAACTTGCTGTTGATAGAGGCTGGGCAATCAATGTGGGTGAGTACAAATGTAGTACATTGAATGATACTTGAAATAGTGTGTTTAAAATCACAGTATTTTCATTTAGCATGATGTGTATTCTGTTTATAATAGCAGAAAGTGACTGGATTGTGTTTAACTAAAATCGACTCTAAAGGAAAGGAAATGGAAAAACTACCGGATTTGTTTTCTCATCCGCTATCACCCTTATTGCAGTTTTATAATTAAATAAAATATTTTTTGGAAAGTAAAAAAGATAACTGGATAAAGATATGATATGATATATATAAGGAAATGTGTTTGGATTGAAATAGTGTGAAAAAAATTAAGGAAAAATGTTTGGAGTAAATGTAAAACCAGGTTGACTTTTAATATCCTCAATGATAATTATCCTGGCCTTGCAGTTGAACCTGAAAATTCCACATTAGTTTCAGTGGTTACAATCAAGACGAATGCAGAGACAGAAATGCTCTCTCTGAATCAAGCTGCACTATACAGTGCTCAGAGTGGTTCAAATTCATGAATAAATATTTCAATAAAATCTTTGTTTTCATTAAATTATAAAATAATTTTCATAGATCTTATCATCAGCTAATTTATACATTGTACCAGATCAAGGGATTGGTTGATACGCTGGAGAGCAGGGCTGTACCAGTTAGTGTCTATTTTTGGCTGTGCAGTTTTTCCTGAAAAAGACTTGAACAAATTATGAAGAATATAGCGAACATAAATCAGCACTTCTGCTCATAGCAAATAGCAATGCAAAACCAGTAAACTATTGAAGCAATATTTTGTGTCATGTAAGACTTAGCTTGTCGTTTTCATAGAGCTCATCAATTCTGGGATTTTTCCATTATTTCATAAACACATCTTCTACAAGGTGAATATCCAATATTAAAAATTAAATAGACATTACAAACAAACCCAAAAGCCTGTCATATTTACTGATATGTAAAGTGAGCTTGTTAAGTTTCTTGCTTAGATATTTGTAATGGGTTTCTCAGTAAAAAGTTCTGGTTTATTACATAAAAATATGTTCTGGGAGGGGGAGGTCTAAGTACTTTTTTCATGTGAAGAGTGTGTGTGGCTGTGTTTCTTCTGGTCTGAGTGTTTGCAAAAGACAATGGCGTGTGCAAATAATAACTCCATAGTTCTTAGTTTGGTATTTTTTTTGACCCGGTGTTCAGGGTAGAAAAGAAGTTTCCACATGTCCTTTCCACCTGCCCCATAATGTTAATTATGCAACTCCAGCATGCCTGGGGGAGCTGAACTTTCAAAGCGGTATGCTTTGTCATGGAGGCATCATTTGTTACGTAGGTCCATTTCTCAGTTCTTAGGGTGGTGCTAGATGAAAGGGACGATTCCCTTTAAGCTGGGCATCTGCAGATCCTTTGCCTGATGGTCTAGTAGGCCACACATAAGATACATACAGAAACCCTATGAGATGTTTTGTGTTGCTAGGTAAGGGTTTAACAGCTCTAGGCGTGGTATTCGCTAAAGGAAAAAAAGTGCCTGATGTGTAAGTGATCTCTGTCTCTTTGCAAAGACCATCTATGTTCCATAGTATCTAGCTTTTCACCTCTTCAACATTTTTATGTTTAGGGGGTGGTTTTCATCACTGTTCAAGTGACAAAGGTGGAGGATTTTGTGCATATGCTGATATCACACTGGCTATAAAGGTAAGAATTACTCTTAAACCAGTGTTTTCTACTATTTGTGCAAATGGAAAAAAAAATCCACATAAATTCATAAGAGCTAATTTACGTCTTAATAGGAGAAAATAAAGCCATCCATGGATAGGTAGGAATAGGAAAATGGTGTGGTAGTTGATGCTGCAGAACATAACGCATATGCAGTATTGTTAAGTGGAAGGGAAGAGTTGCAGGGGTCAGAATTATGAATGTAAATATGAACCACTACAATTGCATTAATAATGTCTTCTTGCAAAAAAACACTCGAAATCAAACCAGATTGACTTTTAATATCCTCAGTGATAATTATCGTAGCCTTGCAGTTGAACCTGAAAATTCCACATTAGTTTCAGTGGTTACAATCAGGACGAATGCAGAGACAGAAATGCTCTCTCTGAATCAAGCTGCACTATGCAGTGCTCAGAGTGGTTCAAATTCATGGAAAAAAAAAGTGAATGTCTCCAAAATAATCACTGAATGTGAATGAATACATTTGGTACTTAGCTGTTAAAAGGCTGAAGCAAGAGCCTTCTGCAGTTAGGGCTTATTTTTATCAAATGTACTATGGTATATTTGTATACTAGAATATTTATGAAGTATCATTAATCAAACATAAAAAAGCTCTCATGATTGCAGCACACTATATGACATAACATCTTAATTTCTGTACATGGTAATTTGCAGAAAAGTAATCCACAGTGTTCTATTTTCCCTGTCATTAAAATAGAGATTGAGAAATTATAACGGGTGACAGTTTGTACAAAATCTTTGGGTTTTACCATGTCTATATTAAAGATAGTAATTTGTCAAAGTTAAGACTCAAAGAATTGAAAAATCTATTTTTCTTCACAGACGTAGAATAAGAAATGAATTCTGTTACTAGAAGTGGCTTTAATGCATACAGTCCCTACAGCAGCTTTTCCTAAATGGTGGATTTTATGCTTATACAGTTGGATGTCATCACAGTGGACTGTTTTTCCCTTCCTGCTGATAAGCCTCACTTGTGCTATCGTTTGTGTCTCATGAAGTTAGCTCCTCAATGTTTTGGGGCCAGTGCAGCTCTTGCTTCACCCTGTCCCAACCCACAGTTGTTGCTGTTGCTTTCTCCGTGCTGTCGCTGGTTCCACTCCAGCCTCTGACAGCATCAATGCCACAATCAGCTTTATAATCCCTAGTTGGACCTGTCCTTTTCGGTCTGGCTGGTGTGGGATGCAGAGATGTACCAGCTACACCTGTGTAGAGCCAGTGTTACTATAACAGGGTGTATTGCCCTGGGCTCCATTGCGTTATTCAGTGCCGTTGGGCTTATGCCTTGTTTGCAGAGTCCGCTTTACAAGTGGGAATTTACAATTTACAGTGGGATGCTGTAGAAGGACACGTTCTTGATCCTGTGTTGTGTCTGGTACTTTGTGGGAGAAAGAGGAGATGAGTAGAAATCTTTCTTCCCTCTCTCCACCAACTTTCTCTACAGGTAGGCAGATACCTGCAGAGATGACTATGAAATGCATGTTTCATGCATTTCATCTGGTGGAAATCTATAGGTTTTTAAATTGTATAATCAGAAAAATGATCTTTTTTTGTGAAATAACTAGAGCTTTTGTAATTAAATATGTTAGAATCATTTAGCCGTTTATTTGGTGAATGAAATGAATAGACACGCGCTACATTCAGATCAGAACAGTAATATGCTGTGCAAGCTTCAAGCCTCCAGTTTAATGTCACCTAACTTCATAACTTTCTCCATCTTTTTCTTTGCTTATATATCTAGTTCTTATTTGAAAGAGTACAAGGGGTGTCTAAAGCCACAATTATTGATCTGGATGCTCATCAGGTGAGTAGCTTACCTGTATTCAGTGCTGCAGATGCATTGCTCGAAATACAAGTGTGTGATAAATACCATTTTTTCTAATAGTAGTATAAACTGTCAACTCACAGAATACAAAGCTAATCATAGATGATGGAAACTGTGAACAGTAGTTGTTTAATTACTTTATGGTCCAAAAGGCTGTTAAGCCAGTTTAATAGAATTAAACTGAGTTGTAGCTCCATCATGTGGCTGGATGTAAAAATATTTTTGAGTTGCATCCTGAGGCATAACAGTCTCCAGAGTAGGTCAATATCCTAGAAGAAACAAGAATCTCTTAAAACAGAATTACAGTTAGATCAGCATGTGTGATCACTGCAGCAACCTTTGCAGGGGATGAATTTGACCTTCAGTGTGTTAGTGGAAAGCCTGGCTTCAGGGTAATGAAGTAAAGACTACATTAGTCTTCACCTGGTAAAGTCATTTACTGTGGGTACTGAGAACAAATCTCAACTTTGGTAGGATTTCCAAAATAATTCCTGAAAGGAAGGAAATCGTATTTTTAGAAAAGCAGTTAATGCACCAAAATTATGTCCAATCTGAAACATTGAAGATAATTTATTATGTGTAAATAAACCATTTTTATGTAGCTCCATGGCAGTGAGGAAGCCTAATGGCTGCAAGTTTTCCATCTTCTATCATTTCTCTTATCTGCAAGTTAAGGCATCCTAAAATTAGCATGAAATAAGGACATAGATTATGCAACAGAAAGATGTTATGTTCATGATTCTCTTCAGCCATCTGTCAGGGTGTGGATTTTTTTTGTGCTTTTTTGGGGTGGTTTTTGTTTCGTTTTTTAAAAACTTCTTGGAATGTATTTTGATTTTTCAGGTATCATGGTGGTAATATCAGTCTGCACACTAAATCACCCCTTTGTTTCCTTTCTCTGGGGAATGAGAGGTGTGTGAAGTAGTAGCTCAGCAGATCCTTTTTAAGTATGCAGATATTCTCAGCTTGTAAGTGTTCCAATTCTTGGTGCATTGGCGAGTTTTACCTTTCATAAGAAAATGGTTCACCCAGAGGCTGTCATATTCCTAGATTTCTGTTCATGAACTGTTTATTTGTGGACCAAAGATGCTGAAGAAATAAGTAGGAGTTGCCATTTTTTAGCATAAAGAAATACAATTCTGGTGCTTCCCATTCCCTTTTTCACACACATAGACTAGCTTTAGCGCAGTGACTCTTTCTTTCCTTTTTTTTTTTTTTTTTCCTTTTGTTGTTTCCAGGAGGGGAAGTTGTAGCAGAAATATAGCTTCCAGGGACATAAATTATGTAACTGAATTACAGAAGATATATCTGTGGAAATGTCTGTTTCTGTAGTTTAAATGAAATTCTGTTGGGGGTAAGGGCTGGGGTCCTGTATGATACACTGATTACAACAAAATTATCTTAGTGATTGCTGTGAAAAGATGATTTTTGTACTAGTGGAGAAGTCTAAATGAGAGCCAAAAGAATACTATTTAAATTCAGAAATGGGGGAGGGGGAAATATTCAGAATCTGAGTTTTCTCTTGAGCATCCGTCTTTACACCCAATACAATGTTTTTGTAGGGAATTCCTGATGTTAAACAATATATTAAACTGTTGGGTCTTTAGTGTTTGTAGTTTCTCCAGGGATTACTTACCTCACCAAGGCTTGAATTATCAGAAGAGCTGTAGTCTGTTTTATTTATTTATTAATCCTTGTATAAGAATATGAGTATCCCTGCAGCAGTTGAAAGTGACTTTTTTTTTTTTTTTGCACAATTGGAAGATGAGAGATCTATATGGTGGTCACAGTTGCTTTTGTGATGCTGCTGAAGACAATTAGCTTCTAATTTTTGTTTATTTTTTCTTATATGTGCAATGAGATCTATGATAATTACCTACACAGAGATATAAGTATGTTGATTTTGAAAATACCTGCAGTCTCAGACTGATACTGTCAAAGCCCCCCAAACTACGCCTCAAAATAAACTTCAAGACTATAAATAAGAGAATGACACAGGAGTTTTAAATATTAGATCTTTGTAGTTCTAATGACTCTAGAATTTGCAGATTATTTAATTCTGTGTTCGTATGCTAGGAATAGCTAACTGTAAATTTCCTTCAGGGAAACGGCCATGAGAGGGACTTTATGGATGATCATCGGGTATATATTATGGATGTGTACAATAGATATATTTATCCAGGGGATGGATTTGCTAAACGTAAGTATAATTGAAATTCATATTCCAAAAATTAAAAGACCTACTGTGTTGTTAAGTAGCTTCTTCATTTACTAATAAGCTTCCTTGCAACAATGATGACTAGGGTTTTGGTTTTTTTTTTTCCATTTCACACTGAACATACGATTTTAATGATCACTGTGATAATCACAATAGTGTTAGCGCTGTAGTGTTTTCCCTCACTTCTGGAATGAATTTCTGGAATGCGAGGTGTGGTATTATGTGGACTTTGTTAGCAGTCCATTCAAAAGCTCATGCCACGCTTAGAACAGTGAATTAAATAATCCTTTTGATTCAAAGATAACCGTTAGAACTTAATCTTTCCTTTACACTGAATTTATAAAAGAATTCACTAAGGATTAGCTAATACTGTGTAAAAAGGTTTCATGTTCTTTTGAAAGTTATAAATTATAACATATTTAGGTGTTGTCTTTCCAGTAGAACTTGTTTTATAAGCATCTAGAAAACAAGATGCATCTGAATGTGAAACAAGCTGGGAAGCAAAAGGCAGTCATGCAAATGTTAACAGCTGGTGCTTGATTTTTTTGTTGTTGCTTGTTTACCCCTACTGTGATGTGCCTATTGTGTCTGGTGACCTGTCACAATTAATTAGTGGGGTTTTGATAATGGTTAAATCGGAATGCAGAAGTCCAAAGTTTATTTGATCTTTGATTCTGTTACACTGTCATTTTTACAGGCTTAATTTGTTAACTGAATCATAGTTTACTGGGGGAGATGTTCTTCTGCTGTTCAATTTCTTCAGTGACGCTGTCATTCTGAAAAGCCTACTTAATCTGGATTCTTGGCAAGAATTAGGTGCAGTGCATTGTATTTCTGTTTTTTAACTAGTAAAGATTTTGAAAGTTGTAGTATATATATTTCAAGGTATTAAACTAAAAAATGACCATTTAAAGCGTATCATGTCTGTAAGCAGACAAATTGCAAGCAAATGAAGATTTGATCCCCCCCCCAAGAAAAGCATCCCTTTATTCATATATCAAATGGCAACATTTTGAACAGATGTATTAAGACAAAACAGAGTTGTTAGCAAATCTGAAATACTGAACTCGCCCCTCTCCTGTGAAGCTGGGAATACTAGCATTCCCTTCCTACAGATGAAGCATGAGGTGCAGAAGGCTGTGGCCAAAGGTGTGTGAATATGTAGTTCCTTGTAGTTTGCGTAAGGATGTCTAAATTAGAAGTTCAGTGGCTAAATCCTTTAAATGGTCACCTACCAGGAGACAGGACGAAGATGAGATCAGAGGGGGCGTCTTTTTCAAGGGAGGTGGAGGCTTGAACCTGAGAGTTTGAACCCTTAGGGTAAACTCTAACTGATCAGTGTCTCCCTGGACTTCCTACTCATTTTCTCCATGTTTTATTACAGGAGTCTCTTCTGTACATTTTTTTTTTCCCCCATGCACTTCATTAAGAAGAAAAAAAAAAAAGGACTAGCTAACATTGACTAATGCTTAGTCATAAGCATATTGAGTCCCTAAGGGAAAGTAGTTTGGAATTACACAGAACTTTAGGAAGAGAAAGGAGAAGATGGATGGGGAAAAGGACTAGTTTCACTTTTTCATAAAAAGTTGACAGCTGAAACTCAAAGTTCAGGCCTTAAAAAAAGCGTTGCTGTTGGTCTGAGTGTCATTTTACGGTTTTCAAAGCTGTAGAAGTATTCATTAATTAGCAAGAGATGGACAAAAGGCTATCAAACGCAAAAGCTGTGTTCATTCTAACCTACAGATCCATCACTGTGACCATCAGTAGTCCCTGATCTGGGTAATAACTAATCACTGTAATTCTGTGTTTTGTGGTGGAGATGAAGACAAGAGACCTGCAGAGGCATGGAATCTTATTCACGATCGTCTCAACTTATTAATGATTTCATCAGAACAATACTTACTTGTTCCCCATGCTAATGTGTTTACCTCTTCCTCTAAAGCTCTATCCAGCTAGTGGATTCTTTACCCTGAAGAGGCTCTAAGTGCTGTTCAGAAGAGCACAGCTGTGCAGACTTATATGAACATTCATATAACAATAAGAAAAGAATTCAGGAAAAATATCGTAAAGAAAAAGAAATCTTTGAAACTAATGTTGATGCAATAAAATAAAGGAAAGAAAAAGAATGCTTCACTAATGTTGAACAAGGAAGGAAAGCAGAAAGAAACCCTACCCAGCAATCACGAGAATAAGCATCGTTCTGTGTTGAATGCATTCATGCACACTTGGTGGGTGCTGAATCCACACTTACGATTTAAGACTCAAGTCATTTAATTCAAGGCATTAGGGTATGGTGAGGTGGAAGTCATACCTTGAAACACCTCTGACATAGATTTGATTAATTCACATTTAGAGTTACACATAACTCTGTAAAAGCACCCAAAACTAGGCTGCGTAGCCTTGGGTTTCTTTCCTCTACTTTCTCAACCCTCCTCTTCCACTGCTTCTGCTTATTAGAAGCATTAGAAATAATTTGATTTAAATTAAGAATAGATATTTGCTCTTCTGGTAGGATTACAGGGTAAGAACATTAAATTGAAAATGCTTGGGGCAAAGCTGAATCTTGTTATACATTCATAAAGCAGTTCACATAAATTCATGATCCCTTGCTGTTAAGTTTTGAGTGTTGTGATAAAAATAAAACATCTTAATTTCTTAGTGATATTTATCTTGTGTTTTCCCCCAACTGTTTCCTCTGCAATGGCAATGTAGTGTTTTCTTTCCCTTATGCTTTATTTAGGTTACTTTTAAGTTAATAATTTTCTTTATGATTTCTCTGCTGATTAGTAAATGGACATGTAGATCAGCTGCTTTTCAATAACATTTTCCACTTGTGTCTCTTTTTTTTTTTTTTTCTTTTTCCCTGCATCTAACTTTCTCTCTTCAATGGAATTTTTTCAAGGTCATTGTGCTTACATTTGCTGGGAAAACAAGTAGTTGAGTAATTTTCTTTAATTCAAGGTTCTGTGAAAATGCAATGTATTTACAAAATTTCCAGAAATGTTATCTTTTTCTCTTGCTTCCCTAATTCTTGCATTTTCTTTCAAAGCAATGCTTGCTTTATTGAGTAACATCGAAACTTTTTTTTTAGGTGCCATAAAACGCAAGGTGGAATTATTTGCTGGGAAAACAAGTAGTTGAGTAATTTTCTTTAATTCAAGGTTCTGTGAAAATGCAATGTATTTACAAAATTTCCAGAAATGTTATCTTTTTCTCTTGCTTCCCTAATTCTTGCATTTTCTTTCAAAGCAATGCTTGCTTTATTGAGTAACATCGAAACTTTTTTTTTAGGTGCCATAAAACGCAAGGTGGAATTAGAGTGGGGTACAGATGATGCAGAATATCTTCAGAAGGTACATACTCACGTGGAAGGAGCATTAAATGAATTAAAACCTGACATCATTGTTTATAATGCTGGGACTGATATTCTGGATGGTGATCCATTGGGAGGACTTGCTATTTCGCCTCAGGTTTGTATAATACTAAAATACCTACAGACTTTCACTCCTCACTAGATACTGAAGGCAGTCCTGAGAGTGACTTGTGGCCGTTTGTTAGATGAAGGTAAGGTGCATACTTTACACTAAACCGGAGCATTTTCCTGTTATAGATATGTATAGATATATCTCCGTTGCTCTTTCACCATATGTTTTTTTTGTTGTCTCTTCCTGACTAAGTATTTTTGTTCTTCAGGTGCCTGTTCCAGTATCAGTTGTCTTCTTTCTAAAATACACTGATTTTGAACGTCCAGACAGTAGCCAGAGAGGCATATGTTTTCACACTTCACCTGACTCCTATTTTTCCTGTTTGGTTTGTTCTTTCTTTGTTTCTTTTACCCTCACATAACCCATTTTGCGATGTATTTATTTTGTCACCTGCCCCCAGTATGTATCTTGCACTTAATTTCCTCTGTAGCACTTGAGCTGTTTTAAACTGCTCTTCTGGTATCTTCCAGTTCTAGCAATTTTGTGCAGCCTGTCTGTGAATTCTTAGCAAATGAACAGATTTTTTTTTTCCCTTTCCTCATTCTTTTCTATACAAATATCATTACCCTTTTTCAGTTCAGTTTGCCTTCTCTCTCCCCAGTTTGGTACCAGATCTAAATTTTGATTTATTCTGTATAGCTTCATAGAAGTCTTCACCTTCAAGACATAATGAGTCTGCTTTTCTCACAATAAAAATTTACAGATCTCGTATTTCCTCCATATTTTTTTTTTTAATGATTCCTTCTCTGACAGCTCCTTGGTTCTGTGTCTCTCCTGTTTTCACATTTGGTTCTCTTTTAGTGTCCACCAGTTCAATATAGAAAAGTGCTTTCTTGATTTGTGAGCTCTTGGATTCCCTTCTAATCGAGCCATCACTTGATCTGTTCAGTTTTCATTCTTTAGTTCTCAAATGCTTCCTTTTGCACAGAGCTCTAGTTCCATGCTGGGTTTTATTGGCTTCCTTATGTATTTCCTCATTCTTATTGTCTCTGTCACTGAGCAGCCGCTTCGTTGCTTTCTGACTGCCTGCAAAGTCCTCAATGGACCCAAGGTGGAACGACTTGAGATCCACTCTGAATCTCCATGTTTTGTTTCCATGGCTGTGTAAAAGTCCCTAAGGAAAAAGGAAGAGCTGAGGGGCTTGGACTTGTTTGGTTTTGACCTTGGCGAGGATATGACCTGAGGTGTAAGATCTCATTTGGTGGAGCAGAACTTTTTGGAAAGCAGTGGCCGCCAAGAGAAATGGAAGCTACTGATAGATGGAGAATACTTGAAGATGTGCCTTTTCAAAATTTTTTCTGCCATTTGAGAAGGAGCAATGTTAATTGCCAAGAAAAATGAGTTGCTGTAGCTTGTGGGTGCTGTGTAGGGAAAGAGACAAAAGGTAGAGATGGAGAAAGAAAGGTGAAATGATTCTTCTGGTCACAAGTAGAGATGAAAAGCAGAGTGCCATTTCTCTGCGCAACCAGAGTCTCAGGTGCCTGATGGAGAAAAGGTTTCTGTAGCTCAAGTCTTTGTTTTCTGAATTGAGGGCCGGGTTTCTTGTCTCTCTGATCTTGTTGGCTTAGGTGTGAATGGCGCGTTTCACCAAGCTTGAAATCCCAGGCTACTGGAAATGCTGAAACTGAAGGCATTGAGCCTGGATAATTCATCTCTTCAAGGTTCATTAGTCCAGTCTTCAGTCCTACAGTTGTAGATGTCATTCATATTTTAAAATCTTGCTACAGTGTTAATTCTACTCAAAATTATGCCTCCTCAGAGTGCTATGTGTGATAGTTTCTTGTCGCTTGAGGCTATAGCCAGAAAACTTGAGGTGTAGCTGGTAAGTCCCTCTTATCTTTGTTTGTAAGTGGGAACTGTGTCAGGCTGTCATTTTCACTTGATATATTTTCTTTCTTGGTAACACGCAAATGCTGGAATAAGCCCATGTGTTTTCCCCTCAGTTCTTCCAGGCTCAGCCACTAGAGATGCTGGAGCAGGGATGAGGTGGTTAGGCGCCTATGAATAGTGACTGCTTCCAGTTCTTGTGTGGTATAATGTTTGCTGCATCCAGCGATGGTTCCCAGGGGACGTACAGCTCATTCTGTAATTCTGTTACTTCCTTTAAGGGTCTGTTCCTAATACAATTCTTCAGTTTCCTTTGTCTTATTTTTCAGTTATTATTCCTTACTCCCATTGTTCTTTTACAGGGCTGTGTCAAACTATACAAAACCCATTATTGTTGTATGGTTTTACAAAACATTTTGTCAGCTACATTTCAATTTTATTCTTTCCCTTTACCATTTGTTTGTGGTCTAATTTTTTTTAACGGCAGGGTAATATTTCTTGATGTATTTACAGTCTTCCTCTAACCAGTCTGAGTAGTCCATATTCATTTTGTTGTAACACTTTTGCTCCTGCTTCCTTAATTTTTTGTATTTGATTGCATTTTAATCCCTTTCCCTGTCTCCAGCTTTTGTCATTATTTAAATTTTGAGCTGTCCATTGTTAGCTGTTGTCTATTATGTTGTTGTTCTCTTTGTTTGAGGAGTTGCAATGGATTATTTATTCCTTCTATGTATCTCCTGGAACCCTCTGCTTTTATTTTTCCCACAAAAGTAGATTTTAACTCTGTTCTCGCTTATTTCTGAATTCTGTCTTTCCCTACATGTGTGCTTATTTGAAACCCAAGAGACTTGAAGTCTTCTGTTGTATGGGTTCAATGACAGTACCGTACCTCTTGGTCAGCGATCTCTGTTAGTTTTTAGTTCCATACCCTTCTCTATTAGAAAGAGGTTATTTAGAATTTATTTTCCTTTCTATGGATTTACCATTATTTACATTCTTCAGCCATGGATTCCTTTAGGATTAGCTTTTACTAAAGAAACTGGAAGCTTATAATTCAGCTAGTGATTGTGAACGTGTAAAATTTGATTTGAATTTTTGGTTCTTCTGTAGGTTTGTGAAATCTTGATCAAGTTGCTAAACTTTTGTCAGAGGGTGCTATGCAAGTTGAGCACAAACTAAAACACTTTGAATTCAGACAATCTTTCTTCGTCTCAATTCCTCACCTGTAAAATAGGGTGAACATTTCTAAACTTTGTAGTCAGTTTAGACTTTATGGCCTTTGAGCAGGAATTCTTCTAGGAATTTCTACTGAAGACTTTTATCTGTTGTGTCCTCTAAATCGAAATCAAGGATTTTTGATTTGCTGTTTTTCCTTTTTTTTTTTTTTTAAATGATTATGCATGAAAACCTGCTAATGGGACTTTTAAATGTTTTTTTTTTTTATTCGTATTGTAAAATGTAGGGCTTAGTCAATTATCAAGCATCCAATACTATAAATCCATGAACCATAGGCGAGAACTAAAATCATATTCGTATCATGTCTCCTTTTTTTTTTTTTCTTTTGTTTTTTTTTTGGTAACTGTTGTAAACTTGCAGGGAATTGTGAAGAGAGATGAAGTCGTGTTCAAGGCTGCCAGAAGCCGCAGAATCCCAATCCTGATGGTGACGTCTGGAGGCTACCAGAAGAGGACAGCGCGGATTATTGCCGATTCCATCCTCAATTTGCACAACTTGGGGCTTATTGACAAGGAGCTAGTGACCAGTGGAGCTGAAAATCCCAAGGTAGAACAGATGATTAGAGAGACTGCTAAAGACTTAACCAACTTGTCACTGCAATGACAAGTTAATAAATTTTAGGAAACGACTTCCTGGTTTAGGAGCAGGAAGTCTCCACATCATTATCAGGGTTAATATAACGTATTTTAAAAAGACTCAACTTGACTGTAAAGTAACACAGTAGAGAGAATATGCAGTCACAGAATAACTGTGTCTAACTTCTGAAGCTATCTTGAGCAAAGGCAACAAATCCTTTTAAGCTAATTGAGACATATACTCAAGGGTACTGTCTTTCAGTTTATAATATTACTGTAGAAAGCTTTAATTGCTTCTCTTATCGTTATGGGTAGTCTTATTATGTTGAAAGAACCATGCAGTTGGTATCCAAAGACTGTCCCAGACCTATTTCAGGTGATGCAGTTCAGACTGCGGTGAGAGAAATATGGACTAAACCTACTGGTATTTTTTTTTATTTTTTAGATACTGCATTTTATTTATTGCTTTTTTTATTGAAATATGCTTTAATTGCTTCTCTTATCGTTATGGGTAGTCTTATTATGTTGAAAGAACCATGCAGTTGGTATCCAAAGACTGTCCCAGACCTATTTCAGGTGATGCAGTTCAGACTGCGGTGAGAGAAATATGGACTAAACCTACTGGTATTTTTTTTTATTTTTTAGATACTGCATTTTATTTATTGCTTTTTTTATTGAAATATTGTTATAAAATGAGTTCTGTGCAGGCTTCAACTCTCAGATTAATACTAAAGTTAAGTGCAATACTATAAAAACCGGTTTGGTTGGTAGGCTTTTAAGCCTATTAGAACAAAAGTTCATTAATTTATATTTTATTCCTGTTGTTGATAGTGACTTAAATCCTACTTATAAACACCTTGAGAAATAAAATATGAAATGCCTTTGGCTCCATATGCAAATGAGCCAGAAGGGCTCAGCATTAACAGTCTAGTTTTTGCCTCTCTTAAAATGAGGCCTGCATATAAAAGGCAATAGTTACTATGCATCGTAAATCACAGAGTAAAGAAACGACAATAAAATGAAAACTATTTTGAGAGTTCTGAGAATTCTTGCAGAAAGTATTACGTAGAAATATAGGGTATCTTTTATTATTGCCAGCTTGTCCTGTATAAAACAGTGAAGAGTAAACTCTGCTTTTATTTTTTTTTTTTTCCCAAGTAGTGCTGTGTTTTTCACTTGCTCGAGGAGTAATGGTACTCATAGTTGCAGTCATAGTTGGAAATGAAATTGTTCATATTTACAGATAAAAATACAGTGAAATTTCTACATTAAGAAATGTGCTAACTTTATATGGGAGCTTCTAGGAGGATTTGGGAACAAAATAGTGTATTCAAAAGCAAATTCAGTACACTAACTGTAAAGTTTGGTTTTATTTAAGTTGGTATATTTTGCATTAGGTACTGTTTGTAGCATTGGGTTGTAATATACTAAACTGTATATTTTGCAAGAGCTTTTTTAACTTCCAAGTATTCACTGATTTGTAGTACAAGTTTCACGTCATGTTTAGGTTTGAGCCTTTCTATGAAGGAACACCGATATTTTCCTTGTAGTAGAATTGGTGTGTAAGCTGTTTAAGGGATGTTTAATTAGAATACTTACCTCACTTAGTGTTAATTTTTAGATTGATGGGGTTTGTTAATTGTAAGAACTTGCACAATTGCTATAAATATCTGCTTTGAAACAGATTTGACATATTGCACTAATCTTGAGTTGCAACACTGTTATTAAAAAGCACTTTTAAATGTCTTACTAGAAGGACCATCAGAATACAACTAATGTTGAGATTTATTTTTTCTATACTGTCTGATGTTACTGAAAGATTTTGTTATTCTTTCATATAATTTTTATAAAATTATAAATTACATTTCTATAAACTAAACCCCTGTCATAGTACCATATGGTCTTTTCCAAAACATTTTCTGTTTGTGTTAACATGTTTATATTGTTTTCCCTTGGAGATTAAAATGATGTTGAACAATACTGACTGACTTTTCACTTCACATATGTTTTGGCTGCCAAAAACTTTGAATGGAACAGCTTATTGAAAAGACAAGAGGATTTGTTTTTCATACTTTAAATGTAACCAAAACTGCAGTGAGTCCTAAGTACAAGGTTTGTCAACAGTGGATGACTTCTCTGAGAGTTGATGTGTTGACCTCTTAAAGTGAGCTTGGAAGTTTTGTGTCCAAATACTTTTTAACCCCTTATGATGATATCTTAAAGTCACTTTCTAATTGCAAGTTACGCTCCATTACCTATATTGTAACTCCTGTTTTAAGTATTCTATTGTTACAGGTATTAAACTGTAAACTAAGCTTCTGTTAAGGCCGCAATAGTTTGTTAGAGGTTTTTTTATAAATCAGTATCTTTTTCAGAGAGAACTAAATGTTTGCAGAAGAGCCTGCTAGCTTTCACTCATCTGTAAAATTTGCGATTGTTAAGCAATGGACGTATTGACTGCATTTTCAGTGTTCGTCATAAAGTTAGAATTGCTAAACAGACAACTCATTCATATTTTTCAAAAATTTTAATTTAGTGTAATACTTGGTTGTTAAAACCAAAAGATTAATTTCTACACATTAAGAAAGTAGTCCAAGATAAATGTGTACTGTTTTTAAAAAAGAAGTGGTGAAACTGTTTCTAAGTTGAATTTAGACCACAGATATGATATGATTCATAGTTAATATACTGTTATCATTAGGCAAAGTTCACTGAAAATTTCATCATGGAAACCTTGCCTTGACCTGCCACCATTGAAATTTTTAGCTTTGACAAACTTTTGTGGAATGCAAAGACCTATGTAAGTCTGCTAGGAGAATGTCATGTAGTCACAAATTTTATGGGGAAAAAGTGTGGAGTTTTGGGGTTTTTTTCTTTTTTTTTAATTGGAGTTGTAACTATAAAATCCTCCCATAATAGGAAGGAGTGTTTCGGAGCTGATGCACTAGCTTACAACCAACAAACTATCTTGAAGAAAAACCTAGTAGGTCTTGTCTTTCATAATAAGACATTAGTTTTGACTCTAATTACTTAAGAAAGAAATAGCGAGGATTGTTCAATAGCTTATGGTTAACATATGAACATGCATTTCTTGCTAGTCATCCATGTGTGAAATTTATTTAAAAAATAAACTGAAGAGTTGGTGTTTTCATCTATTTGATTTGACAGTTGGCGCGTCGAGCTCCAGCCCCCCTTGCCTCTCTGACAGTCGACACACAGTATAGAACTTGGCATTAAAAACACTGGGTGTTGTGGTCGTAGTCTTACACTGGCTAAATTTTAGCTTTAGATGGTAATATCAATCTCTTTCACGCTGAAGGTATGACTTGTTTGTTTGTTTGACTTTGTTGGGTTTTTTGAACACCTTGCATTGTGAAGTCCTAGACTTGTATCATGAATACAAGGAAGAATTTGAGAAATGCTGTAGTCAGACAGCTGTGATTAAAAAAAAAAAAAAGAGAGATTAAGAAAATTAATTGGTAGACAGCTTATTGTGTGGGGGGCAGGTAGTGCTTATGTTTGGTGAATAATAAATGTCAATGCTCCCAGGTTCCCTACTCCTTGCTGCTCCTCACAGCTTGAGGAACCTAATGACCCTGAAACTGTACCCTGGTACCTTCTGGTCCTGCTACCAGAGTTGTTCAGCAGTGTTTCTGCCTCCTCTTGCACATACAACAAGGCACACAATTCTTTTCAGCGCTGGCCACATATGTTTTTTGTCGTCTGTGAAGTGACACTTAGGAATTTCTTGTACTTTACAAATTGTACTATACAATTGTGTCCTACATGCAACATAGCCACTTCGGGGAGAACACTCTGACAAATCCAGAAGTTATGAAGTTAGTAATCTTGGACCTAGATTTTGCTCACACTGTGCTGCCAGGAGTTGAAGGAGCTTGCTGAGTTCAGAAAGCTGCGGGGTCTAGGATCTTGGTGCTGTGTGCTATGCCAGTTTTTGAATAATTGAAAACATGCTTCTTTCAAGAAAACTGCAATCCCTTGGTGAAGAAGAAATTTCATTTGCTATCTTTGCCCAATGGAAGATGATCTTCCTTATACCCCCTGGTTGATTCTGAAATGCAGAGCATATCAGAAGCAATAATAAAGGGCCTAATCCCAAGTGATGCTGTGTCCTGAACTTGCCTTGAATTTAGCACAGGTTATGTATTCCCCAGCCATTGCAGAGGCAAGCTCGCAAATTGTTCAGTACGTATCAGCCTTTAGCTTAGACTTTAAATAAGTGTGATTTTCATGTTTTTAGTCTTTCCTTGATCCTGATGCTTTTGGTAATCTCTTAGATTTCCTATCCAGTGCTCATTTAATTTTCCCTTCTTTATCTTATCCTTTATACGGGCTATTTTGCTACAACCAGTCACTTTTTACTACAGGTCAATAGAATTAATTTCTTCTAAAAAGAGATCATGTTTTGGTAAGCTGTATGAAGGACTAATTCCTATTACTAGGTCTGATTCTCTCCTAGGCTTACTGTGGCAGTGAGAACAGGAGGGTTTTTTTTGCTCAGTGCCTGACTCAGTGCAAGTACAGTACCAACCTGTAGGTGTTACTTTGGACAAAGCAAATAACTCCTGCCCTACTTTCCTACAGCCTTTTGAATGTGCAAGAATGCTATGTGCTGCACATAGCACTGGCTTCCTGAAACTAATATCAGAATATTGTGGTAAGACAAAAATGCCATTTTGATTGAGAAGATTGACTAGGCATGGGAAATTATTGTGGTGGGGGCTGTGGTTCTGACTTACCAGCCTGGTGCAGTTCTGACCTCCCTCCCTACAGCTTACCTGAGCTTAAACTTTTGGCTGGAGATGAATTAAGTACAAAAATTAAGAAAAGACTACCAGTAATGCTAGATACATCTTGTGTTACCAGTCCTGCAGTATTATATTTTGCCAGTGCAGTGGTCTGTGGAGCCATGGCACACCTCCATAAATCTTTTCTTCCTTCAAAAGTAACATTACAGATAATTAGTTAAACTGTTGCCAGATATAAGGCTAGTTACATATTTCACTAATAAGATCCAAACTCTTGTTTTATTTTGCAGTTGAGAGTAGACATCCTTTGAGCTTGACTGGAACTGATTATTTTTATTCTGGAAATGCATGTTTGAGTTGTGTGGTTAAAAAAAAAAAAAAAAGAAAAAAGGAATAAAAAAAGTATTCAAGGCCAATGTAAAATAATGCATCTTGTCTTTATAGTGTCTTAAATTTAGTCCTTAGTAGAGTTATAACAAATTGCAGTGCTTTGTAAGAGCAAAGAGATGTCTCCTTTCTTTCACTTTTGACACCTAAGAAAGATAGTAATTAATCCTGTTAGCCAAAAGCTTGTCATTTGTTCTGTGATTTTTTGCCTTTGTATTTGCTACAGGTACAGACGAGGGCAAAACAGATGTAAGGTCTGTTTAGGTCTGTAGCAGAGATGAGACAAGGAAACTGAAAATTTC